TATTTTAATATAAATGATCTTGCTTGTGATGTTCACAACAACCCAAACAAAGTGTTCTTCATATTTATATGATAGAAATGAGGGTTTGGGGAGGAACATAACAAGTCAAAAGCAGCATGTTCAACGATGATTTATAATTCCAGGGGGGAATATATTCTATAAATGACTAACCTTGTGCTCCATGTGTCCCCTGTTGCTGGAAGATGTTTCAGGTCTGCTGGGAGAAACAGTTCTAGTAACACCTGATCCTTGCCGAGATTTTCCAGATGGCAATCTTGATGCTGAAATATCTTCATCATCAAACATTTCATCATCTGCTTCATCTCCCTTGTCTATTTCTTCATTTTTTCTTTTGCTGACACGGAGGACATTGCTATCATCTTCTTCTATCAAAGCCTCTAAACCTGCACTTGTATGGGCAGGGGCAGTGCTGATGTTACGCACACGTGGCTTTCCTGCATCGCTTTTAGATTGCTCCTGAGACTGATCCTCATCCATTTTCAAGAACTTCTGAAACATTTGCATTTTGATATGTTAAAAGAGATTCAAACATTTATAATTTATAATAATGCTTTTTGCATTTAAGCAGAATGTTACAAAAAGTTATGTAAAATAAAAGAAATTTCAACCAACGTAACTCTAAAAAATAATTTAGCTTAATGTGGAATATTAAACCTCATATTCTTACTCCTAGAAATATAAATCTTAAAGAAATATAAAACCTAATGAAATATGACATATAAAAATTATGGAATTATAAAAATAATGAAATTATCATTTTTCCAGAAGTAGAAGAAATTAAAATGAAACTGAAATATTTTAAAATTATTTTGTTTTAATCTAAATTTTTGCCACTGTTACTGATTATGAAATTAATGTTTAGCTTCTGATATGAACATAACAACAGTGTCCCAGTTTGCACTTATATTTTTATGACTAGTTTTCTTTGTCTTTATTACTAAAAAAAGTATAAAAAATTATATTTTAATATTAAGTTCAACAATGACTTGAAACACCCAAAATACACAAATATATATTAAACAAAGGGTAGGTATAAATATACTAAGTTTTAAAAAATTCTTAAAATTTATTTAAATGCTTTTGAAGACAAACGTTTTAGACGTCTGACCAAATAGGACACGTTGCTAAGGAAGCCTTGGTCAAATTTTAGTAGTACTAATTCTAAAATATACGTTTACGACTTCAGACCGTATCATAGTTTATGCAGTTTTATAATAAATTACCGCTCAGACTAAATAGTATAATTAATAAAATTCAATTTTGGGAAACCATTAGACCAAATCTCGCTAAGAATGTAATGCTTACTGTCTTTTCATAAACGTTGAACTCTTATTATCAACATAATATCATATTTTAAACTTCTTTGTGATGAAGTTGCTACACTGAACGTATGCCTTTCATATCGCATCCATATTTAATATTTTATTCGTAATTTAAAGAGAAACAAGAGTCAATATTACAATTGAAATATATGATCAAATTTTAGTTGGTTTCCCCATTTTTTAAGTACCAAAGTATATTTCTTTAACGACTATTTTCAATTGCTGATATGTACAGTATTAAACATTTACAACAAGGCTTAACTATTATCCAGTAATGCGCTCTAAAAAATAATTAAAGATATGATACAATAAATAAGTGTAATATTTGTAAAACTTTAAGGTGTGCAGGCCTATGTATGAGCATCTATGTTATAGATGGTGTTGTGATGGGGGTGAACAAAAGTGGGGGGGGGGGCTGTGAGTAAAAAGAATTAGAGGTTGGGTGCAGGGCCGTACGAAAGTGCATCAGCATAGGGGCCTACAAAAGGAGGCGCACCTACTGTCCTCCCTCGGTGGCAAATTTTTCTATAAATTTAAGGGTGCCATGCCCCGGGCGCCGCTTTTTCTCGTCATGGCAGAGGTGTAGTGAGGGGGATCGGGGGGGGGGCAGATGTCTCCGTCCCCGGGTGCAGCTAGTTAGGGGCCCCAAAATGTGCGTTGATATTATTATTATTTATTGATGAAAATAATGGATTTGAGAGTTACAGAAAAGAAAAGGGTGCCATGCCCCGGGCGCCGCTTTTTCTCGTCATGGCAGAGGTGTAGTGAGGGGGATCGGGGGGGGGGCAGATGTCTCCGTCCCCGGGTGCAGCTAGTTAGGGGCCCCAAAATGTGCTTTGATATTATTATTATTTATTGATGAAAATAATGGATTTGAGAGTTACAGAAAAGAAAAGGGGGTGCTTTAAAATGAATCTTGTCCCCGGGCGCGAATCTTGTTCCCGAGTGCCCACACTCTAGCTACGCCTCTGCGTCACGGCACTGGTTTGGTGGACTGGATGGTTGTACTGGGAGTGTGATATTAGCGTGGTGGTACTATGATATGGGTAGTATGAAGAAAGTTGGTTGTGGTGTTAGGGTTATTGTCAAGGGATGAGTGGGGAAGGTTGGAGTGAAATTGGGGGTCGAGTGGAGGGATTGAGGTAAGGAGGCTGGGTGGCGGGTGTTGCAATTTTCTCCTAGGTTAATCTGTTAGCAGAGGCGTAGCTGGGGGGGGGGCAGAGGCGTAGCTGCGGGGTGCAGATGTCCCTGGGCGCCAGACTAGTTAGAGGCGCCAAAATGTGCTTTCGTAATATTTTATTGATGAAAATAATGGGTTTCAGAGTTGAAAAAAAAGAAAAGGAGACTCTTTAAAATGAATCTTGTCCCCGGGCGTCAAATACTCTCGCTACGCCTCTGTCTGTCGGGCTTACATTTTGCATCCTAGATGGCCAACAGTTTAGTTTTCTCTCAAATTAGGAATGACCCTATGGGAAAAACATCTGTGATTGATTGTTATGATTTATAGATTTAAGTGTGACACTCACTCAGTTTTGTTGATAGTCCTTTTTTTTTTTTAAAGAAGTGGCCGCATGCAAGACCTTGTTGAAATTACAAGAATTGAAGAATATGTTGAAATTACAAGACCATGTTGAAGCTACAAGAGCATGTAGAAATTACAAGACCATGTTGAAATTACAAGAATTGAAGAATATGTTGAAATTACAAGACCATGTTGAAGCTACAAGAGCATGTAGAAATTACAAGACCTTGTTGAAATTACAAGATCATGTTGAAATTACAAGACCGTGTCGAAAGTACAAGACCGTGTTGAAATGACAAGACCGTGTTGAAATTACAAGACCGTGTTGAAATTACAAGACCGTGTTGAAATTACGAGACCATGTTGAGATTAGCCATTAGGCTGTCAATTGAAAAATCAATTTTTATTGTCCTCTAGCAAATGAGGGCACATGCCCGTGACGAATTTTTTTTTGTCTTTGTTGTATTCATACAAAGGAAATATTCGCCCTGATCGTTATATGGATTCTCAAAGAATATCGTTGTTTGTTTTTTTAGTCAGTTGAAAATAACTCTATGATGAAGCAGCCTAGGATCAAACTCACTGAAAGGCTGGAAAATAATTTCTTTTATAAATTTTGTTCCCTGTTTTTATATCACCCCCCCCCCAAAAAAAAAAAAATCCCCCCTCCCCCCGGCAAATCCTTCAAAATCTTGCCCCGACCACATTATTTTTTTTTATACCCCCCCCCCCCCAAAAAAAAAAAATCCCCCCTCCCCCCGGCAAATCCTTCAAAATCTTGCCCCGACCACATTATTTGAAGTTCTCGTACACTTATTGGAACATCGGAATATACCGATAACTGTAACGTGATAACTGGGGTCCATAATATTGGATCCCGTTAAATGCACACACACACACAAAAAGGGGGGGGGGGGTTAAATGCAAATTTTTCGTAAATGGAGGTTGTTAAGTTTGGACTAGATTGTAGTAGTTGGGAGGTGTTAAGGTTGGATTAGCTTTTGGTAGTGGGAGGTGTTAAGGTTGGATTAGTTTTTAGTAGTGGGAGGTGTTAAGTTTGGATTAGTTTTTAGTAGTGGGAGGTGTTAAGGTTGGATTAGTTTTTAGTAGTCGGAGGTGTTAAGGTTGGATTAATTTTTAGTAGTGGGAGGTGTTAAGTTTGGATTAGTTTTTGGTAGTGGGAGGTGTTAAGGTTGGATTAGTTTTTAGTAGTAGGAGGTGTTAAGTTTGGATTAGTTTTTAGTAGTGGGAGGTGTTAAGTTTGGATTAGTTTTTAGTAGTGGGAGGTGTTAAGTTTGGATTAGTTTTTAGTAGTGGGAGGTGTTAAGTTTGGATTAGTTTTTAGTAGTGGGAGGTGTTAAGGTTGGATTAGTTTTAAGTAGTGGGAGGTGTTAAGGTTGGATTAGTTTTTGGTAGTGGGAGGTGTTAAGGTTGGATTAGTTTTTAGTAGTGGGAGGTGTTAAGGTTGGATTAGTTTTTGGTAGTGGGAGGTGTTAAGGTTGGATTAGTTTTTAGTAGTGGGAGGTGTTAAGTTTGGATTAGTATTTAGTAGTGGGAGGTGTTAAGTTTGGATTAGTTTTTAGTAGTGGGAGGTGTTAAGTTTGGATTATTTTTTGGTAGTGGGAGGTGTTAAGGTTGCATTAGTTTTTATTTGTGGGAGTTGTTAAGGTTGGATTATTTTTTGGTAGTGGGAGGTGTTAAGGTTGGATTAGTTTTTGTGATTTTTTTTTACCGGTACGAGATTAAGTATTGTTTTCAATGTTTCTTTTTTTTCCAAATCTTTTTTTTATATTATTATTTGCAAAAATATCGACGACATTATTAAGGATTAGATCTATTATTCCTGACATTTTACATTACTTTACATTATATTTTTTGTCACACTTGACCCATATTCACCCACTTTTATGAATGATATACCGTACATACAGTCGGCTATAGACAATGTATCTAGCAAGTAATGGAAATGAGGACAAATCTCAAATTTAATATTTTTGTTGTATTGAAATTTGACCACAACATTTATTAAAAACATTTAAAAAATATAACAACAAACATTCAATTCATAAAGAAAAATCCATCCAAGTCATTTTTAAAGAATATTTTATTTATTATTTCTTTTATTACAAGTTAATAAATGCATTTCAGATCACCAATGTAAAATACATTTTAACATTTGAATAATTTTTAGAAATTAAAACTCAAATAACCGTAGATTTTAATTTTTTTTATGAAATAATGTTGTCTGTATCTGAACAAAGGACCCAGCAGTGTGGACCAAAAGACCCAGAAGTGTGGACCCAGAAGTGTGGACCAAAGTTGAGAATAGAAGAAAACTTACTTAAATATACTCACATTTTTAAAGGTCACTTTAAATACAAGTTTCATATCATAATTTACAATTAATGGCACAACTCCTTGTATAATTTTGCCTCAAGAGTTTCTGAGAGAATTACAAAATCTCGTCCAAATGCATTTAAGGGCATCAAAACTTGATAATTTTACGAGCTTAAAGTGTAGCTTTTGTTAAGAGGGAACTTGCGTTTGGCAGAAATCAAAGCTGCCAAGTTTAAACAGTAACACAACACAAGACAGTTTACAAAAGGTTTGAAATAAAATTATGATTATTTATCAAAGCCTTCATGCGCTTTTCTGGTGCAAAAAAAGGGGAAACAATTAAAATATTAAATCAAAATTAAATATGGCAGTATTCACAATGGAGTCACTTTGAAAAGCAGAGTCCTGTGTTGATTGGTTCTTGCAAAAGTCTTAAATTTTGACCTACAGTCAGAGCTTTAACTGAATACCGTAACGGGAAATCAGCAACATCTACAAAAAAATCTGTTTCAATTTGTTGCATTGATTTAGTTTTAAATGAAAAGTGGGAAGGTAAAATTGTTAAATGCACTGTCTGTGTTATTCAGTAAGTTGTGTACTCCTGTTTTGCACTTCATGAGATATAAGAAAATAACCATTTGTATGTCATTAACAAAATCACCACCACCACCCTCAGCCCCCAACTACTCCTTAAAAAAAAAAAAAAATTTGCCCTTAGGAAGTTTATACAAATTTATTTAACGCTTGTGTTGAAGTCCATACAATTTGAAGGAAACTGTTTACAACTGCAGCCGGTGAAGTTAAAATAAAATATCTCTGCTCTTCACTTGCAGAACAATTAATTTTTAAAACAAGGACTTGACACAATTGGTCAAATCTTTTAAAATCAGCAATGATTTAGTTTTTGTTCTACAAATGGTTGAATGATTACAAACATTATTATTACGGAAGTCTTATAATAATACTTATCAATAAAACCTCAGGAATTGCTAGTTCATACTGTAGCGGTACACAGGACAGAATTTGAGAAAAATTACTTTAACAAATGCCCAAATGTCAAAGTTAAGTTTAAAAAACAATTTGTTTACAAGATTACCGTTATATAAGATAAGATTCTTTTACTGATCCAAATAATTGGAAATGTTTTTTTATTACATGGTACACATCTGATTTCAGCATATAAATAATAAATATGTTAACCAAGACAACATTATAAAGTTAGAACAATTTAAACACAAGACATTTTCTTTGGCATAAATGACAAACGTCAGCTGTTATATGTATTAAAAAAATTAACTCCCTTAGTGACAATTATGACTTAAGTAGAGATCATGTAAATTTGGTAACCATTTAGGTAGCATTCTAGTAAATCCATACTGCCTGAGAAACAAATGAATTTTTAAATCTTACGGACCTAGCTTTAAGGGAAAGCTTTCGCCCTGATCTTAGGTATCTGCGATGAAGAGGGTGTGATCAAACATTACAGGAGTACCGGTACAAAAATGTATGCTAGAGTAAATTGAATTTGTTGACATTAATGTTCAAATAATATTAAAACAATGGAAACTTACTGGCTCTAGATTAGGACTTAGTTTGGTTGAAAAATCGTCTTAATTGGCAACTGACATAAAAATTTTCCTTACGTTTTGTAGCTGCTAAATCACGGATTCGTTTCAGTTGTAGCAGATGCACAGGATCAGTTTCTTCTTGTCTCTCTAACCAGCTGAACGCCATTTCGAGAGCTTGACAAGCTTCTGCATGAGATGGCACAGAACACTTATCTATTTCTTCTCGTTCTGCTTCAGTGTCTTCATCGTCTGAATATTTTATATCCTCGATGATCTCTTCATCCGTCAAAATATGAAACCCCGGATCACTGATATCACAGTTTAGCCACTCTTTTACGTCCTCGGTATCACATCCTTTGCAGATGTTGGTGCTCTCCAGTAAATCTATGATTTCTTTAATTTCTACATCGATATTTTCATTTGCTAAGTCTTTGTGAGGTAATTTGAGAATTTTATTCCAGGCCCCTGTTAATGTTCTTCGCTCAAGTGAACTCCACGCGTCCACCAGCATGTAGCAGCAATCTTTTAAGTTTATTTTCTCATAAAATGTCCACACCATTTCAGTCTCACTATCGTCCTGTAAAAGAAGAAGTTGACATAACAGATGCTTTCTGTACAAACGCTTAAAAGTTTCAATGATGCCCTGATCCATAGGCTGTAAAACTGATGCCACACTGTGAGGTAACAACTTGACAGTAAACATCCCATTTTCCCGCTCTAGCAATTCCACAGAGGGATGAGAGGGTGCATTATCAAGCAAAAGTAAAACCCTTCCTTCTTTCTCTTTGCCGTTTTGGAACTTCTTGACTTCTGGAATGAATGTGTTGTCGTACCAATCCAGAAAGATTTCGGTGTTTGTCCACGCCTTCTTCTGGTGTGTGTATGTTAAGGGAATCTTTAAGTTTCTGGGCATTTTTGACTTCCCAATAAGGAATAGCGGCAATTTATGTGATCCACTGGCATTAGCACAAACAATGACTGTTACCAGATCGTTGCTGACTTTATGACCAGGAGATGAGCTTTCACTTTGTGATGCTAAGGATTTGCTTGGAAGTGCCTTCCAATTTAGACCTGTTTCATCAGCATTATAGACAAAGTCTAGATCATAATCCTGGAGCATCTCTTTGACATTGTCTGTGAAAGTATCCACTGCGGCAGGATTAGCAGAAACTTTTTCTCCCTGCATCTCCATTTCCCGAATTCCATGCCGTGATTTGAAGTTTCCTAACCACCCAGAACTTGCCTTGAAGGAGGGATCGCCATCTAGCTTTTGATTGAACTCCAAAGCCTTTTCACACAAAGAAGGGCCAGATATTGGTTTCCCAGATGAGCGTTTTTGCAAAAACCAAGTGAAAACGGCATCTTCCAAGAGGTCATTTTGTGGTTTCTTCATTGTCTTCCGCTTCAAACTTCCATCTTCTCTGTCAAGAGCACAGGTAAACTTCATGATGAGTTCAGAGTTTTTTTTAATGTCTGATATTGTTGATTTTCCCACCCCATATTTTTCTGCCAACATGATGCCTGAATCTCCATTCCTCAAACTTTGAATGATGTTGACTTTATCGTGCAAAGTAAGCACTACCCTCTTTCTTTTGGACATTTTAAATAGAAGATCTGTGTGCGGCTTACAAATGGGATAACAAGTGTGTTACACGTGGCATTGCACAAGTGATAAATGACAAGGGCTGGCAATACATGAGAATACTCAAACTGTTAGTTCCCTAGAACCATTTATCACCTCCAGGATTTCTATCTGAAAAAATAGAGTGACAATGAAATTAAAACTAAAAAAAAAAAAATGTTTTCAACATGTGATGCAAAACAAAGAAAGGAAATAGTGAATTTCTTGGGGTAATTAATCACTAATTTAATGACCCAATTAATTGAGAAGCATTGAATATAATGAATAAACTGTCCAGTTCTTAACTAGTGCAGGGGAAAAAAATCTCATTAAACAATGTATTTCCTTCTAAATTCATACTCATAATGTTTAAGTGATTGAAAAAATTGGTTCATACTGTGATAAAGTCTCAACTCTCAAGGGAGAGGAGGTGAGCTTTGGATTAATTCAAGATTCAAGGAATTTTTTTAGTAGATTTTTTACATTTTTTAAATGGATGACATCTATGCATCAAAGGTGGACATTCATCAAATAAAATCTTTAAATAATAAATAACACATGTTAGACAAGAGGGTAATCCTCCAAACGTCTGTACCATATTTAAAACTCTAGTAAATCACAGCGAGTGAACAGTTACTTTGTCAGTTTAATATTTTTCTACCATGAGTAAATGGATTGAAGACAAGAACACATATGAGAGCACAATAATCAGACAACTTAGACTTCTACTAGCTAATAAAAATACTTGACTAATTTTATTGCACTAACTACTAGTCAATGTAATCTTAAATCTCCACTATAATTTTAACCCAAAAGTGATTTCATTTACCATCAACACTTGCAAGTGACAGTGTGACTTTGAGAGCGTCTAGGCTTCTCATCGCATAGAGTCTTGGTCTAAAGTCTAAATAAATATATTAATTAAAAGGTTTCAGAATCTGGGCAGCTCACAATCCCAGCAGAATGTGTGATGTGCAAATTCAGAGGATCTGATGAAATGTGATTGTAAGAAAATTACACAGCCATAAGAGACGTTAGTCCTTCTCTTTATACTTATACTATTAACTATGTATGATTAAAGTATAGTATAAGTAGAGGCTATAATTTACTATGTCTATAGATTAATAGACTAAAGTCTAAAGTAATAGTCTATACTGTAGGCAGTAGTATAGTGTAGGGCCTTGAATTATTATTATTTTTTTGTATTCATCCTTAAAATAGACTTCACACCATACTCAAACTGTAATTTACACTTCTACAGTGTAAAATATCTTGCCTACGCTTCACACAAGTTTATTTTTTTAATTTCAATTCAACAGTTCCCCCCCCCCCTTTCCTCCCTTCCAACACTACTAAAACTAAAACCACCCCTTGCCTTATTACTGGCCTTACCCTACCACAAGCTGTAAGTAACTTATTTACTGTACTACGGGCACACTCATCATTGTGACTGTAACTATACTGTGTAACTCACTTATGCTTACTAGCAACTGACTAGTCACTAGTGCAACAAACATGTCTAGACTACAGTTAAAAATTTATTGCCAGGTCGGGCCAGGCCTCTCCAAATTAATTTTAATCCACCAATCTCATAATAATTTTTTTTTTATTTGAGGCAATTAAGATATGGGTTTTACGCTTCACATACAGCAACTGATGAGGTATAAAGTTTAGGTCATTTAACAAACATTTTTAGACATTAATGTTGATATTGATATACAGTCAGTATTTCAGTAGTCAGTATACAGAGCGCTGATACTGTAAAAAAAAACAAAAGATAACTCTGATTTATTTGTTCAAAGTGGAAGTTAAAAAAATACGCAGTATCTACACGTCCGGCGCACCGGACAAATAGTGCGCAAGATAAACGTCCGGCGGCATGTCACGCTAGTAGTTTTTATTGTTCTATTTTATACTATATTTTTATTATCATGTTCATCAGCAACAGTAGTTTCATGAGAAGTTTTTAAATATTTTGTAGCAATTTAAAATGAAATCTTTTTACTTTTATTGGTTGCCTACTCCAAACTAGCCCCTAATTTATTTGATGGATTACTGGTACACAAACTCAAATAACAAACAAAACAAAAAGTTTACAAGCCACTCAGTGGCGTAGCGAGGGTGTTTGGCGCCAGGGGACAGGATTCGCGCCCGGGGACAAGATCCATTTTTAGCGCCCCTTTTTCTTTTTTCAACTCTCAAACCCATTATTTTCATCAATAAAATAATAACAAAGCACATTTTGGCGCCCCTAACTAGCTGGCGCCCGGGGACATCTGTCCCCCCTGCCCCCACAAGGCTACGCCTCTGAAGCCACTTGCACTTAAGTTTTTTTCTATTATTTGCATTCAAGGTACTAAGTACATTACTTGGTAGAGAAATGGATTTTAAAATTAACAATTTAATAACAATAGTTTTGAATCATTCGCAGTCACGTGACAAGGCTGACCGACAAGATATCTCTCGCCACTTTGTTACGGCGGTCATGTGACTTGATCGCCGGACAAATAGTGCGGGAGAGATCGCGACGGACGTGTAGCAACTGCCAAAAAAATATTCCCACACAATTTAACTGCTTCACTTTTACTTACACCTGCAAACATTTGCCATTCAAACATATATGTGTATTAGTTAGAAGCAATTTAAAATAGCCAATTCAGTTATAAATTTAAAATGTTAATTTTTTTTTTTTTAAAAAGCTAACTAATTAAAAAAAAAAATTCTCAAAGGGAAGCAACTTTTGTTTAAAATGAGCCTTTAAGAACGGGACATTATTTCCCATTACTGATTACCATAGTACTATAAACTATAGTAATATAGTAAAATTGCAACAAAAAATAATAATTAGATGATATTCTAGCCCATATCTTTTTTGCTAAATATTTCTTTGCATTTTTCTCCTTTCAATATAATATGTTAGGTGGTTTACTTACCTAAATAAAATCGAATTTTTATAATAAAAATTGAGTATGTTATATTATGTATAATCTATTACTGGCTGTGTGCGCTAGGGATAGACTAAGAGATTTTTAAGTTCCAACTTAGTTATTTTATAAGATAGCATGTGTCCAAACTGCACATTTGAATCATCGAAAATCTGACCCTGTTCTTGAGTTTTAAAAAAATCATAACTATCTTAAAATTGGAGATAGAGAATTAAAATTATTGGTTCTGTTCTGATTAAGCTAAGCTCTATGTCTATTTAGTTAGGGTGACCAAATCATGGGCTGGAAAATAAGGGACACACCCAAGGAGGGTTGGGAGGGGGGATACCCTCCAGCTAAAGAGGGGCCCGGGGAAGGGGGGGGCTCTGCTGGTAACTGTTTATTGAAATATGCTCATTTTAACTTTTTTGAGACCCAGATATCTTTTTAAACTACCTTCACTTTTGTAATTTAATTTAAACCCTGAAGCATATAAACGAAAACAATAATTTTGCAGTGAATACTTATTTATTTATACATATTTTACAACATAATACAACACAACAAATTAAATTTCTATAGTCTAGGATTTAAATTTAGGATATTTAGCTGTTGTCTCAGCCATTGTTAAAACCTCCTTCTTATCTAAAATGTGAAAATGTGTTTGGTTTTAGAAACGGAACATTTAGGCGTCACAAGACTTTTTTTGGGATACCGGGTACGATCGTGAAAAAACGGGACAATCCCATTTTTGCAAGACTTTAGGTCACCCTAATTTAGAGGAATAGTTTAATTATATTTAATTTCATTATAATTATGAACTTTTTATTTATAATACCTTCTTATATGGATTTTATTATTTTTATTTTAGTATGGTGCATTAATTAGTAGAAAAGCAGCTGGGAAATTAATTAGTATTTATCCAAAGGTAGTTAATTTTTAATAGACAACACGTTAGCAGCAGTGATAGCATTTTAGCTTCTAAACAATATTAGTTTATTAAATGAGTACAATAATTTAAGTTTTTGAGGAAATTAAAGTTGTGGCTTTTATTTTAAATTTAACTAAAACTTATACAACATAAGGACAGTCTTAACCTAAACTTTGAGCATCATCAAAAAGAGTAGCATTAACAAACTGGAACAATGTGTTTAACCATTTGCTTATATTTTTTTGTGTCTAAATAATACAGTACCACTTTCAGTTTGTTACCCGGTAATCATTTTTTAAATATTTATATTTTGTTAGAGTCTTTAATGACTGTCTTTAAGAACCAATTGTGTGTTCATAAGTGTAAATGTAACAGTATCAATCACCATGCTCTATAAAAAATATATATTTTAGGGTTGAAGAAGGAGCATTTGGGAATTAGACATAGACTTTAATAACAAGTATTTTGTTGAATAATAATTTCCCCTTAATATAATAATTAAACGTCAGAATGATTCAAACCTTCAATGATGAAATCAAAGTTTCTTTATAAAATTTTCTAAACATTTAGATTGTTCATTTTATTTTAAAATGTTATCTCTAAATTTATCAATGATCAAGCTCATTTAACACCTATATGCCCCAGTGCATCCAATTTGAGTATGTTACTCTTGCCTGTCTATGCGAAAGGGTTGAATGTTGCTGGGATTTGGAACCCAAGACCATCAGCTTAATTCCTGTGTCAAACTGACTGTTGCAACACAGCAGCTGAGCTATATTGACAATCTGACATCCCTATGATGAGCCCAAGTGGACATTTAACCTTACCCCCACTCCTCATCATGTTAAGTCAAATTTAATATTAATGTAACCACTTGTTCTCCTGGAACTTCCCCCGAGGCTGTCAACAAAATTTCAAATGCTTATTAATATCATCCATACACAACTCAACTGCAGGAGATGATTTTTTATCAGATTTATTTTCTTGCAAGTTTAAAAATTATAGCTACTGTCATCATGATCCTCAGCCTCGCTTGGATCCAGTGGTTCCTGCAGGGTTGGGGAAAGAGAGGGAGAAAATAATGCAAAGAATCTATGTATTAACTGAACATTGTCACCAGTGATATTCAGATCTCAACTATAACAAATCAACTATCATATACATTAATATGCAGAATAAAGCATTGGTTAACCAATTGATAAGTTATATGATTTTAAAAAAAAATTAAATTGTGCTAAATTAATATTTTTTGGGTAACTAAATGAATGGGTTAATTTTTAAAAATGTATCATTCTAAACATTTAAAAAATACTTTTTCTTTGTGTGAAATGAATGTGGCTGACACCTTCTTTTATGTTTCTGTAACTATTTAAATACAAGCACCAACAATATTGCATTGGTTATTTCCCTTCAATTTAAAAGTGCTAATTTTATTTTAATTATGTGCTAGCATGATGAACCAGAATCTGATAAACATGTTTAAAAATCATAACACACTTTCATTTTTTTTTTTTAAAGTTGTTTAATCACCATAAAAAGTTACCCATTTTGAAGGATTAAGTGTCTGCTCAATAATAACCATGACAAAATTTTAAAGCTGTACATCCATGATTCGTCCATTATTTCGCATTGAACTGTTTTCAAAATCACACAGAAGTTTTTTTTTATTTTGATAATGTGTGATATACCCTTTCAGTTAGGAGGTAAAATAAATGAAATGTGCAATTTAAAATTTCGATATGCGGCGCCGGGCCAGCCTGTGAGCAGTGGATATATGGGGAATTAAAGACGACAGGGATCAAATAACTGCATTCAGAACATTCATTTCACACCCAAAGAGAAGCCAGTCATGTGTTGTTGTGAACAAACAATTCAACATTCAGTTTTCTGGTAAAGATTAAGGAGATAGTACCCACCTTTAACTCTCTGGGTTCTAAGTCTTCACCATACTGTATTGTTGAATCTATTTGGAATAATAAATTATTGATGCTCTCCTCGTCTGAGTAGTCCAAAGGCACAAAATGTACAAGACTGAAATCATCCAGCTGTCAAATGTTCAAATTTAGTTTAGTCAATAAAAGAGGATAATGAGATGGTTTAGAAAAGATTGCAATGCATTCATAATTAAACACTTTCCAAATCTTTAAGTATAATCATTTGTTAACGATATTATACATCATTGAAAACAGAATTTTTATAACTGCTTAGAGAAAAAAAGAATTTGAGGATTTTTAAGGTCAGAGTTCAATGTTAATTTTAATTATTATTATTATTTTTAATTAACTTAAGTTATCAGTTATCGAATAATTCAGGACCTGACATAAAAAAAAAACATGTCTGTTGGTATCTTTCCACTGAGTATAATCATCTAGAAATATAAACTTCACAAGGAAACCAATAATGATATAGTTGTAAATCATAATTAAGGCAAGCATTGAAATAGCTCTTTGTTGTAACATCCTAATCCTGGTTAATTACACAGAATTCTGTTGCTTTGACATCATCACACAGACTAATTATAAAGAATTCTGTTCTATCACTACCTCCATGGTCAAATTAACAGCAATTATGACACCCACCAAGTTAGCCATTGCTTTGTTAAGAGAGAAGAACTTGCTACCAAAATCCTGCTCATCAAACTCCTCCATCAGCAAGTTGCTCAGAGCAGGCTCAAAATACCTGGAACACAAGATTGTAGAGGCTTTAATTTGTATTTTAAAACAACAAAGACTCTTTGATTTTCTTAATTAACCAACCAGAAAAAAGTTCTCAGATTTACAAAAGTTAAAGAATATATAAAAAATTAATTTGTTGACACCTTTCTTTCCTTTACTCCTCAGATCAACCCACTTTTAGTAAGTTTGGTAAAACTTTTACAACCAACCACTTTCTGCCTAGCCCCTTAGTCCAAGCCCCCGTATTTTATTCCAGGACAAGACATAACAGCTGTTTTCTTACAAACCTCTCCAGATCTTTCTTAGCAGACTTGCTCAGAAGATCCATTTTGGTGAGAACATTCATGTGGGGTACTTCAAGGTTGACCATAGTTGATAGAGCTGTAAGAGACCCACTTACAAATTTGGCAGCGTCCACTAAAAATTGGGCATCTAACAGGAACACAGCACAGACTCGAAAATCCCAGGCCTCCAGCTGTGCTACAAGTTGTTTCATTACGGGTATATGTGTGTATAACTCGATCTGTCCTGTAAAAATTTAAGTGTTTTAATTAGCTTTAAACAATTACTTATAAAACATGACTGTAATAAATTATTTTCATAACATAGCTTCTGTCATAATAATCATATATTAATTACATATACCGGTATTTGTTTCAGCCAAAAGATTTTATAATGAATGAATTATATTTTTTTATTATAATGAGTAAGCTAATGTCAAACATATTAGCTTAAGTCTTCATCTCATTAGTATCTCACCACACAATCTCTTAAGAAATATTTTTCCCTTTAACCTTTAACTAAAAATACTTTACTGGTTTCTTACCTGGACAATCAAATAAAATATAGTCATCTTCCTGTTCATCAAGCTGTTCATGAAGCCAGTCAAAGTTACTGGCAAAAAATCTGAAACGTTATAAAAATAATATTTTTATATTATACATGACTTTCATAAGTGCATGCAACTAACGAAAGAAGGAAGAAGGTTTTCTCTTTTTTTTTATTCAGACAATGCAATAAAAAATATATTGGGTTTTTTGTAGATAAACTGAGACGTTAACTGACCCACAGTTAGCTGAAAATGATTGGTGGGACTAAGAGAAACAAAAAATATGATTTTGTGAAATACTTAAAAGTGTTAAAAACATTGCTCTTTCTAATAATTTCTATATTTGATTTTGAGGCTTGTGGGCCTCCATGCTATGGTAAACAATGACTTACTCCATGCAAAAAATTAATCCTCCGTTAGGTCCAAAATTTAAGCTAGCATCCTCCATTGCATCATCAATGTGTATCAAGTCCCGTATATCTAGGGAGTAGCAGTTTTAAATTTTAAAAAAATCTTTTAAGGAATCATAAGAATGTAAATTAGAATTTAACAAAAGACTTCATGAACACCCTGCATCAATTTTGAGCTACTTAACACTGTCTCTCGAGTGTCTGGCAAAGAACACTAAATTGTGTGTCCTGTTAGTCAACATTACATCTTATGTGTCCAGTTACTTAACACTATTACTATATTCCATATTTTATGTGTCCAGTTAATCAACACTTATATTTTGTGAGACCAGTTACTTGAGTTGCTAGACACTAATGTATCTTGTCACTGTGTGAATCAAAGTAATTTGTTTTTAGAGTAAAAATATTAATAAAAGATTTTTTTTTTTTTTGTAAAGGTCCTGTCTAACTAAGTATAAATTGTTTCCTGACATTTTATTGATAAGACACCTGACAACAATAGTTTTAAGATAATCAATAAAATATATATGTAACCTACTAATACGAAAAATTTTCTACATAGATGCAATTTGATGAAATGGTTAATATAAGGAAAATAAAAAGTGGTGGGTAGTAAGTAGATGTGGAACCAGAGAAATTGATTTTTGGTCTACTTATGACAAGAGTTGCTACAAAATGTTAAATGTCATACCTGTAATGAAGTTTACACATCAAAAAATAAATGGTAGCATAATAGGTTGAAACATTAATTATTAAAGAAATTGGGACTGTATATCATAATCATACACACCTGATAAAACTGGGTAATCAAAATATTCTGCAGCTGGGTCAAGATTGACAACCTGAACTGACCTTTTAATGACATCACAGTGCTTTGCTACTTTACTGCAATAAGTGGACTAAGCGAAAAAAAAAGAAAAAACAAATTTAAAGACAGTGGCAGTCCACTATAAGGCAATAACAGGGGCCCATAACCTTGGGTCATGTAAATATCCACGATTTCTTTATAGAAAATGTTATATAAATATTCCATACAAATAGTTGTGGGATTCTTTAAAAGTTGGAAAAGAGGTACTTTTTTTTTTCTTTTGTATATTAGTGAACTATGTGGTATAGAAGTAAAAGTTGGACTAGCTTTAGGAAATTAGGAATTGTGCTGTACAAAAATATTAATTTTTTAATACTCCTTTTCAAGTACTTTTAAAAAAAAGATTAATAATGTGATTAGGAAATGATTAATTATATTATATAGTATGTAATCTAGAAGGGTAAGAAATTTCTTGCGATATGCCATGAAAGCGTTATGTCATAATTCATGGGGTTAGTTATATTTAGTAGGGCACATTATAGTGGATTTACACTGAAGGCACATGTCTATAAGTACTAAGTTAATTTTTATGCAACTTAAGATTAATTTGTACTGTAGAACGTACACTTGAGTTTACATTTATTTTAATGATTATCCAATTAGTCAATCAGAAGAAGATGCTACAGAGTTCTCCTTAATTAAAAAGGTATTAATTTAAAGCAAACTAAGTAGGTTATTGATCATCTTATTTATAAATAGCTATAGTTTATAGCCCGCCAAACAATGGCATCCACAATGCATGAACTTCCCATCTCCTTACTTGACGAAAAATGCATATGGTAATTCAAGATTAAAGTAGAGCTTAACCAACTTTATAAGACTACCAATCAATTAGTGCAACCACCAAACTATTTTAATTATTTTAATGTCTCATCCCCTTTTACACCACAGATTTATTACACCACTGGCCACTGTTTCCGTAAAACAAAAGAAACACGAAATTGCTGTATTTTAAAAAATCTTAGTGAAATTAGTGTCATATAGTAGCGTTAGTGAAAGTGTTACATATTACATTTCGTTCATAGCATAAAGCGTAAAATGTTAACAGTTATGTATGAAATGTATTTTGATGTTATTAATTAATATTATTAAAATTAACCTTCGGGTGAGCGTGCTCTTTTCGCAACGAGACAAGGCAGTGTATCAATTTGATATCGCTAATGAGTGACTGCTTAAGTTAGTTTATTTTATAAGAATTTTGTCAAATAATATATATTTTAAGTAATTCAACAAACATTTGGTACAATATAAAATTCATCCCCAATAATTATTTTTTTGGATTTCCTCTATAACCTTGAGATTCTTATATACAAACATTTTCCTTCCAACCACCATGTTAGACAGCAGAAGTAACCAGAAATATGTAAGGGTCAGTATAAATATCTTGTTTTGGTGCAATGGATCAAAATGATTTTTACTATTTAATAATAAGATAATTTATCAATTATCAGTAAATAAACTAATATGAAAAAAGTACTTCCAAAAGCAAAGAAATAATAGAATTGTCAAACTTCAAAAAAGTAAAGTTCAAAAGCGCTGTGTATCAATTTGAACAAAACAGTCAAAATCTACACCCTGAAAGCATTTTCTACACACTTAACGGTCTTGGCCTATAAAGGAAAGGAAAACATTAAGCTACTGATAAGTAGAGCTCGCTGTCATCTCTCATTGATGTGTGCAAAACAAAAACCATTGACTTGTATCAATCTGATCAAGCGCGCCCGATGGAAGGTTAATAAGAGAGTATAGTAGAGTCCAGGTGGGCAAACTACGGCCCGCATGCGGCCCGGCAATCAAAGGCATTTAGAAATTTTTAAAATTACTTTGTTTTTAAGTTATTTTGTTGAATCTTACAGAATTTCATGTATCGTTATGATTGTTTCAACATTTTTGATCAACTTTCTTTGTAATTTTCAATTTTTCAAACAGTCCTTGACTTTTGTCTTGTAATGCTAAAATACGAATTTACCGAATTTAATATAGGCTAGAGAAATGTTTATCAACATTTAAAAATTGGACATAATATACAAATTATACATGCTGCACCCCAATAGCTTTACATTTGTCAATGTAGCCCTCCCCACAAAAAGTTTGCCCACCCCTGCCCCTGGTATAGTCTAACTTTAAACTTATAAATTATTGACTATACTTATACTGACTCTACTGCCTACGTCCCTACGTTATTATTAAAAGTTAACTAAGATTGAAGTAGGCGTAGGATTAGGATAAAAGAAGTAGCTTACTAATTACTAAGACTTAAACTAAAATCTATCAGATAGCCTAAACTTACAATGTATGTCGTGACAAAGTAAGTGTAAGTCTAATTTTTTAAAAATAAATAAAAATAAAAGCGTCACCAATCCCGAAGGCAAAAAGGCAAAAGATATAGCCTACCTTACCGCTACCTGCAGGACCAATAACAAGTTGTGCGTATCTCGGCATCGCAATTGGCTTTACTACTTACCGACAACTATGATCAATCCGAGATCTTTTATTAAATGGGCACTTCTAATCCCTTAATATTGAATATTGAATGACACTTTTGTAATCAGTATGTGTCTGTTGTTGCTACATAATTCATATATTTTATGAATAACTTTTAAATTAATGAGGTGAAAATCAGGAAACATTAAATTTGACACTAGTGTTAAAATTACGTTCTTCTTTTTTTTCTTTTTTTTTTTGGCATAAATTAAAAATGTGAGTTGCGGCACATTTTTATACAAAAAGCTATAGATATGTTTAATTAAATTAAAGCCAACATTCTGGGTTTGCAGATTGTACTGTCCATTGTGTGTAATCAGCAATCTGTTTTCTTCAGCCTGCAACTCTCCACATCTACCTCTTGAGGTGAAATTTGCATTTCTGTTGATAATGATCTCCAACCATAGCTGTTCAAGTTCGGTACTTTCCAAGTATGACTCCTCCCCTAAGTAAGTACGTAACACTTTCGAGCTAAAAGTGTTTACAAATACAACTATTTAAAATGTATTATTATTTAGATTAAATAAGACTGTTCCTTGTGGATGGCCTGCCATAACGAACGTTAATTGAATAATTGAGATTAAAATTCCATGTATCATTGTAATTACTATACACTACCCCCCCCCCCCAACTTTTTGCCTATTCTTTTTCTACCTATAGCCTAAGGTCTACCGAATTTCTCTTGCTGCTCTTTTTGGCTCCAGCATTTAAACTAAGTTTTTATTTATATATTAATATTATTCTTTGTTGGTTTACTGAAGTGGACTTCTTGCAGAAACATTCGTTGTTTTGTTGCATCATTTGTTTTTCAGGTTTCAAAATTCCTTGTTAATATTTTTTATACTAAACATGATTGTAATCATGTATCAACAATAATAAATTCCAAGTGGATCATGTCCGCTCCCAAGTAGTTAAGGAGTAAAACATTTTAACAGTGGTTGAATTATATTAAATCCTTTGAAATTTGGTATCATATTTTATTTTACTTAATTAAAAAGCTTAAAAGAGCTGTAAATGGGACTTGTGGTTGCTCTACATATTGTACGCTACACACTTAGGATTTTTAGGCTGCTTGTCCTGATTAAAATCCGAAGTCTTACTTCCCGTTTCATCAATCATCAATTATTATTAAATCAAATGTTAATAAAGGAGGGGGGGGGGAGATTGCAATCAGGTTAGCAAACTAGGAATTGAATGAAAAACAAAGTATTTGAAAGCCTGGCAAAAAAAAATGCAATAAAACAACAAATGTATAAGCAAGAAGCCTTCATTGGCAAACAAACAACAGTAAAAACAGAAATAAATAAAAGAAATAATACTGTATCTCATTCATTTTTACGCCCCTCCCCTCAACGATGAAACCCATTATTTTCATCCTTTAAATACATCCCATCTCATTTGGTCGCACATGCTAGTGCTGCGCATGGGGACAGATTTCCTCATCTTCTGCTTTAGCAACACCTCTTGCTACTGGCACTGCCTACCCGAAAAGCTAAACTGACACCCCCTTCCCCACTTGAAAGGAAATTGAGTAAAAGAAACACTGCTTAGACCCCCCCCCCTTCCCCACCAAGTACGTCAAACTTTCGAAAAACAAATGTTATACAATTAACAACGTATTAAATATAATGTAAAACATAATTACCGTTACCATTCATTATTAAATCTATAAATGTAAAAGCTTCTGACTTCTGTTAAATACATCTACCGCAACATAAAGTTTAACATTCACATTAATGAATGTCATTTTCAGGTTTTATTTGTATAGTAAACAAATATAAAATATGTGACATCACACAAGATCTTTTCATCCCCCATTTCTCAATATTTCACACTTTCTTAGGCTCCTTGGGCCTACCCTTCGTTAACTTTGAAGCCCACAAAGACGTCAACGTGTACAGAGTATTCAGCTCAATCGCTCACAATGCGTGCGTGAATGTACTATTGAAGCTCTTTTTCAATGAAAAGTATTTACAAATATATAAAAAAAAGTCATGGCGGACGACGCACAAAATGATACCGAAATGGAAGGAACTGAAGAGTTGAACCAAAATCAAGAAGAGGAATCAGAAGAGCGAGATTCAACTGATGGGAGTGAGGATGAACACGAATCTGAACTAGAGCTTAAAATAGCCGCTCTTACGAAGCAGGCAGGTCTTTTATTTTTATAAAGCGAAAGCAATTACGTACGACTACGAGTTACATCTTTGATTTAAGATTTTATTTGAAATTGAAGTTTGAACTAACCATATACTATTTATACGTATTACTAGGTGCTTCGGTGAAGAAATCAAAAGAGAAATAAACGATACAGTTCATATTTGTATAAAGTAACCTTTAAGTTAACATCAGCTTTCTAGATTTAGCTGTTTTTGAGCTGTAACTTTTACTTTCACAACCAACTTCCAAGTGTGGGGGGGGGGGAGGGGGGGCATTTTGCTAGGGGCTTGGTACAACTGCAGCTTCTGAGATCACAGCTCATCAGCAGATCTTCTTGCTCTAGATTTAGTTGTTTTTGGGCTGTAACTTTTATTTTCAAAACCAACTTCCAAGTGTGGGGGGGGAGGGGGGGAATTTTGCTAGGGGCTTGGTACAACTGCAGCTTCTGAGATCACAGATCATCAGCAGATCTTCTTGCATATGCATTTATAAGAGGCACAATAAATATCGCTGCTTTGCTCAATTTTGTGTTTTATTTGCCAAAATAAACCATAGAGTTAATAGTAGGAGTAGGACTATTCTTTTGACCTCAGCACTTTTCACTGTAGACTGTTGTTATTTATTGCACATGATGATCCCATTTTTGGATTAATATAATGAACATTTTAAAATATTTAAAATGAAAGCATCAATTAACAAGTAATAAAGAATCAATTTTTATTTTATTTTGTGCAGGTAATAAAGTAAAACTAGTAAATAGTACTAGTATTATTTAACAATGAAATCTACAGAATATTCTGACTATAGTACAAAATGAGGCTATGCAGTCCATACTACTAGATACTACTGCTGGTAAATTTATTGACAGACAGTAAAACAGGACAGAAAAACTCACACTTTCATAAGTCATAGCTCCAAAACTACTAAAGCTAATTGGTGTTTTTTTAATTTAGTCTATAAAAATGTATAATTTTTTCATAATTTGTATTTTTGTTTTTCCACAAACCACTTGAGCTATGTTCATACCAACTTGAGTAAATGCCAATGTGAGGAAGGAAGCATTGCAAATAACATTAAATTATTTATATGTTAAATAGTTCAGGTTGCATAATCAGTTGTTACCAAAACTTGGGAACCGATTTGGGGCCATCCTTAAAAGACGTCCACCAATTTTTTGCTATTTTTTTGACACCCCCCCCCCCCCCC